TGGTGGTGGTAGAGGTGGTGGTGGTGGTGGTGGTTTGTGTGTGTGCGCGTGTGCTGTGGCATGGCACGGGAAATGGCGCCATCGCTGCAGCGGGAGCACGAGTCGAAACGGGCAGAAGCGCCGAAATGAGGCCAGCGCTGCAGCGGGAGCACGATTCGGAACGAACGGAAGCACGGAAATCAGGCCAGCGCTGCAGCGGGAACACGATTCGGAACGAGCGGGGCCCGAAAATGAGGCCGGCGCCTCAGCGAGAGCAGCATTTTGAAAAAATGCAGGCGAAAACCCAACTCCCGGGAATCCTGTGTGTAAGAAAGCAGGACGCGGGGGGGGTCGGCTACTCCCAGCACGCCATCAGGGGAACAGGGAGAGTAGTATTCATATTGAGTAACTGTGGAGGAGGAGGAGGAGGAGGAGGAGAGGTGGAGGAGGAGGAGGAGGAGGAAGGGAGGAGGAGGAGGAGGAGGAGGTAGGAGGAGGAGGAGGAGGAGGAGGAGGAGGAGGCGAGGGCGCCCAGCGGCGAGTCGAGTCCGAGCGGGCCGCGCAAGAGCCGAAGTGCCTGACGCTGACGGGCGCTGGCGACGTTAGCAGCGCCTCGGCGGGCGGGCCGGCGTGATGGGGGCTCGACGTTTTCCCGAAGGGATAATGATATGCGCAGGCACAGGGCATCCAGCAGGAGTCGGAGTAGATGGGGTCAGAGTAGAGGCCAGGCCTACGCTGGGAGGCCTAGGGCCCTCCCTGATGGGGTTTGAGTAAATGGGGTCGGAGGGTCGCCCCGCATCGCCGATGCGGCTCGATGCGGAACCCGGTTTTTTCCACGCCAGCGGCGCCGATGTCGCCGACGCATCGGCGATGGATCGCCGAAGTATTGCCGATGCGGCCCGATCCGTCGACCCCATTTATTCCGACCCCATCTGGGAGGCCTCTAGGTAAACGTCGATCTCAAGCAAAAGAGTGGAACACATGGGCAACGGATGGGAAACGAGAGTCCGGATGATGTGGAAAATCGCGGGGGTCCTGGTGTGAGTGTGTGTGTGTGTGTGTGTGTGCGTGTGTGTGCGTGTGTGCCCGTGTCTGTGTGTTTCCCTGGGCCCTTCTCTATGGTTACCCAGACATGCCCGCGTCGTGAACAAAAATCGCGACGGGCGTCTTCTCGCCGTTTTCAGCCCCCGGGGGGCCCTTACCTGGCCCCAGGGCCGTCAAACAATGGTTCGGGATGACAATCCGGTATCGAGGAATGGGTCGAGACTTCTGAGTGTCCACTTTGTGAAATCAGAACGTCGGGGGCCTGGGTAAACACCACGTCGTTTGGTCGGTCAAAGAGCCAAAGAGTTCAGCGAAGGAAGTCGTTGTGTGGGCACTCTAGTGTCCCGTCGGGTTGAGAAGCTGGGCCGTCTATACACCATGCTGCTTGGCTGACCAGACGACTTGGTGTATACTTCGGGTTCCTCCCAATGGCCAAGGCTCCGAGGCGGGGATTTACCCATCACCACCGCCTGGGGGATCGGTCTTCGGGGGCCCCAGCAGGCTGCTGATGCGTATGAATTTTTGCGCCGGGGGGGCCAAGTGTGTCCCTTTCCACCGCCTGCTGGGGTGCGGGAAGGACGTTCCCCCAGGCGATGGTGATGTAGAATCCCCCGCTTCGCAAAGGCAGTTTTTTGTCTCGGTTTCCCTACGCGCCTCGCGTGCCGACCTCGCGCCAGGCACCGTTGACGTGCCCTCCTCTGCTTGAGCACTTTTGCTTTCGGTCAAGGAGGAGGAGGAGGAGGAGGAGGAGGAGGAGGAGGAGGAGGAGGAGGTGAGGAGGAGGAGGAGGAGGGAGGGAGGGAGGGAGGGAGGGAGGAGGGAAGGGAGGAGGGAGGATGGAGGGAGGGAGGGAGGAGGGAGGGAGGGAGGGAGGGAGGGAGGAGGAGGGAGGGAGGAGGGAGGGAGGGAGGGAGGAGGAGGAGGAGGAGGAGGAGGAGGAGGAGGAGGAGGAGGAGGAGGAGGAGGAGAGGAGGAGGATGGAGGAGGCGGAGGCCGCTGCTCCGCTCGCCCCCCCAACCCTTCTGTCCAGTGGCAGCGCTGGAGGGGGACGAGGCTCAGCAGGGGAGGCATCGACCCCCAACCGCCTACTGGCTCGCTCTGCTCAGGAGCGTTCGGCATTGCTGGCGGGGGCCCCTCGCCGATCTGGGGCCTCTCGCCGATCCTGTCAGCGAGGTGCCGTCGATCCTGGGCCGATGGCGTCGCTCCCCCCTCCCCCCCCTGGGCCGACGGGGCGGCCCGCCTTCGCGCGCCGGCGCGCGGCGTCGCAGGATGAGTACCCGATCGAGGGCCTGGACGTGAGCACAGGCGCCGCCCCCGCGGAGCGGAAGCGCCGCCCGAGCTGCGCCGGCGGGCCGTGTCGCGCCGTGGAGGCACAGCGGCCGGAGGTCTTGCGGCCAGCTGCGGCCCCTGGGGCCCCACGCGCCAGGCCCCGTGAGCGCCAGCGGAGCGATTGAGGATGCGGAGCCGGTCCCAAGGGAGTGGGTCGAGGCCTCCAGGGGTCCACGTTGCGAACAGGATCGCAGTGCCGGGGGGCCTGGGGGCCGCGCTCTGCGGGCCGCCTGAGCGGGGTCGGAGTAGCCGGGGGGGGTGTCACCACCCACCAGACCACCCCAACCCGACCTGACGGCCTGAATGTGCCCTCCACTTCGGGGGGGGGTCGGGGAGCATCGAAAAAGCACACATGGAACCCGTACCCCCCCGACCCGAAGCTCGGGTCTTCGGGTTTGGTTGGGGTGGTCTGGTAGGCAGTCAGGGTGGGATCGTGCCGCATCGCCAGTGCATCGGCGGCGCGGCGCGGCCTGGGGCCCATTTTTCCCTCCTCTCCTTGTCCTCCTCCTTCTCCTTCTCCTCCTCCTCCTCCTGCTCCTCCTCCTCCTCCTCCTCCTCCTCCTCCTCCTCCCCTTCCTCCTCCTCCTCCTCCTCCCTCCTCCTCCTACTCCTCCTCCTCCTCCTGCTCTCCTCTCCTCCTCCTCTCTGCCTCTCCTCCTCCTCCTCCTCCTCCTCCTCCTCCTCCTCCTCCTCCTCCTCCTGCTCCTCCGCCCCCTCCTCCTTCTTCCTCCCAGGGCTCGCAAGGCGCCGGCGCAGCGGCGGTGCGGTGCGATCCCCTGGCCCCAGCTGCTCGGGCCCTGGTGGGGCGGCCCCCAGGGATGGAGGGAGGGGGGGAGCGGGAGAGGTACTGGAATATCCATCGGATTCGTTTTGCTTCACGCCCCTCACTCACGCCCTTCACTCCGCCCAGGTAATGGGCTCGGTATTGGGAGCTCCCTCAGCACGCGTCGTGGGAGGACATTCGGTTTGTCAGGGCCCTCCCCTCCCTCTTTCCTTTCATCTTTCTCCCCTTGCATCCGACGTCGTGATCAAGTGTAATCCGAGTTTCTTAGTAAGCGTCGGGGGGGCGTCACCCCCGCCGACAGCCCCACATCGACCCCCGTCGCGGGCAGCCACCGCGCGCCGAAGGCGTTCCGACCCCCGTCGCGGCGCGACGACGAGGCGAGGTTGACACCCGTCGGGGGGTACCCCCCACGCTTATTAAGAAACCCAAAGTACCCAGGCTCCAACATCCCCAAACCACGCTTTTTTGGTTCGTCGCGGTGATTCCAAAGACTGCTCGCGCGTCCTCCGAGCCTTCGTCGCCCTCTTGCTTCTGGCCTTCGCCCTCATCGTCGTCGTCGGCGGCGTCGTCGTAGTCGTTGTCGACGTCGTCGTCGTCCTTTCGTTCCTCGCCATCCTCTTCCTCGCAATCCCCCGTGCCGCCTCCAACTCCTCCTTGAAGCCTTGACGATGCGGGCTGGTCTGTCAATCAGTTGAAGTCATCGATCCCATAGTCCTCTTCTCCTCCGCTTTTCCTCTTCCTCCTCATCGTCCTGGCACGTCCTCTTCCTCCTGTAATTCCTCATCTCGTGCCTCGCCCTTTTCCTCCTCATCCTTGAGGTCCTCTTCCTCCTGCTCCCCTTCTTACACTCTTGTTCTTCCTCCTCCGCCTCCTCCTGTTGCAGCCCTCCACTCCCACCGACTCACTACTCCGACCTGCAGCTTCCAGCATTCGACCTCTCACCACTCTCCCAACCCATCGATCTGAAAGCTTCACCGACTCAACACACCGACCTCCAACCGCCAGCATCCGACGTCCAACTTCCACCTCCACCCATCGACCTCCAGCCACCACCAGCTCGACAATCCAACCTCCAGCCTCTAACAACCGACTGCTCATATCCACCACCACCTATAGACTTTCGGCGTCCGCGAACTCAGCATCTCGACATCGGCAAGTACAGGGTGAGAGTAGCGACCGTATAATTCCCGCATTCCGGCTACCACGTCCGAAAGATGTACGATTATTTGACCGCTTTCCACGACAACGCCGTCCATCAGAAACGAACCACAATTATCACTGGAGACTTCAATGCCCAAGTCGGAAAGCACCCCCACAACGCGGACGACGATGCCAATCACAGCACAAACCGACGACCAACCGTGGGAGCACATGTAATGGGACACTGCAGCACGCGCGGGACGTGGTTACTTGCATGGGCCAACACACATATCATGCTTATCACGAAAACACTAGGTTCTACAAGCGTCACCACAACACCTTTACATATACCAGCAGTGGAGAGCATCTAACCCAAGTCGCAAACTGAATACATAATCAGAAACAAGACCGCCGCAACCAAGTACTCGACCCATTTGCCACGAAAGCTCCGGACCTCGGCTCCGACAATCAAGCAGTTTGCATGAAAATTGCTTCCCCAACACAAAGACCCACAAGAGGAGCAAACGCAAGCGGCGAGCTCCCAATCAGTCATCTTTCCCTCCCGCCGCCGACCCACTTTTCCAGCAGTACTTTCAGCGCCGACTCAACGACCACGACTGTGCAATTGGTACACATGACAGGTGTACACGGATGCAGCGACGCCCTTGTCCAAGCGCACGAGGAGTATCGCGAAAGTACGTTCGTTACTGCACAATGCCCAGCACATGGAGAGGACCTCGCAGCAGACCAGAAACTTCATGAGTTCATCGTCCAGAGACGTAACGCACCACACATGGACACAACCAGAACGGGCCAAGCTGATCAAACCTAGTCTGAGACAACCCTGGGATGTCAAACGGGCCCGCGACAATGCACACATAAATGCCGTTGTATGCCAAGTCAAAGGCCTTAAGAGAATCGCCGGTGTGAGCTCTTCTTAATTAAAGACATGATTGCATCAATGACTACCCAAACGGGCGGCGAGGAGACTGACAGGACGCGCATTGCCGACGTCTTCTCGACATTCTACGAGCAAGTCTCTCGGAAACAAGAGAACGGCAGCCAGGAGAACCGCGCCACCACAAAGTCGACTGAGCCTTGCGCCCCACCATTCACGATGGAAGAATCACGGATAACCAGAAACCGGTTGATACATGGCAAGTGCAGCGACACCGATGGCTTCGCAACAGAGTTGCTCAAAGCAGGGGGTGCCACCATTGAGGATTATTTGCTGCAGTTCTACAACGACATCCTCGCTCCAAAACGCGCACCAACCGACTAATGGAGAAGTGCGACGATCAGAGTTATATGCAAGTCTGGCGACCCAAAACCATGACAAAACTGCAGACCACTGACAATCATCCCGTTGCTGTGCCTTATGCCTCGCCTCGCATGCAAACGGCTTGAGTTCGCATTCGGCGCGCAGCAGCGCCCCGACCAAGCTGGCTTCAGGCGTGGCTACGGCGCCCAAGACCATCTTTTTACCGCGACAGTATTGCATGAGCAGTCATACTGTCGGCAGCTACCCTCTGGCCGGCTGCCATTGATTTTTAAAAGAGCGTCCGACCGGGTGTGATGCGGCAGATTTAGGGGAGGTTCACGACAACAACGCATCTTTGAGGCCTCTTCACTTTCTTATAGCAAATGTACAGCAACCAGACGGCCTCGGTCAGAACAGGCACTAGCAGCCGACATTTTGACATGCAGCGGGGAGTGAAGCAGGGTGACCCGCTCAGCTCATTCTTGTTTAACGCGCTACTACTGCATATCATCCGACAACCCAGGGCAAGTTGCTACCGATAATGGTTTGGCATCAGATTTGGCTACGCACATGGGACTAGCGTCACCAACTTAAGCTTCGCGGACGACATCTTGCTGCGCGCCGCGTACCTGCGTCTGTTGTGAGGCCTCGAAAGCTAGGCGCCGCGCCGCGGACGGCCACCCCACCCCGGCAAGGCCAATATCCTTGCGCCGTTCAGCCGGACGACGCGAATACCAGTGACGCGCAGCATGTTGGACGACGTGCGCATCGACGACATGCAACGCGGCCAGAGCGCAACGTTTGGAGGCAGAAGATGGCCGTTTCGACAACTTGAACGAGTGCGAGCTCTCACACGGGATCGCCGCGGGGCGGGCTAAGTTCAACCGAGCACGGAACGAACTCGCGAACAAACGTTTTCCAATTCGCAGCGGGCTGCGACTTTTCATCGGCGCAAGCGCGCCTTGCGTTATGTGCGGGCGGTGTTTGTGGACTCGCCATGGGCGTGCTCTTCGCGCCGCGGTGGGCGCGGCGGACGATGTGTCGCCTGATCGTGGGCGCGCCGAGAAGACGATCCCAGCGGGGAAACGGCAACCCAAGGACCCCTGCCGATATCGCAGACGCCGACGCCGATAACCAGTGCGTCCGCGCAGCAGAGACGACGATGCCAACGACGATGGCTTAGAGCCCTGGGTTGACTATGCGCAGGGGCACCTGGGCTGCCCTAAGTATTGTTGAGCGCGCGCGCAAGATTGGGTGCGCATCTATTTCAGAGGGGAGTGGAACTGCGCGGCTCGGGCTGCAAGCCGCAGCGCCGACAGATGGACGAGGCGCTGTGTGAATTGGGGCCCGAGCGCGCGCGGCGCGAGGCGAGCGGGCCGACGGCGCGGCGGTCGGCGAGGGACTTGGGGCGATGGCATTGCGTCGTTTTTTTTTTTTTTTTTTTTTTTTTTTTTTTTTTTTTTTTTTTTTTTTTTTTTTTTTTTTTTTTTTTTTTTTTTTTTTTTTTTTCTTTTTCTTCCTCCTTCCCCCCCAATGCCAGCGCGACATCAAATTTGAGGGCGCGGCATCATCGCACGCGAAATTGTGGGCGGTTTTGGAGGGCTGCTTTGTCAACGACATGGAAGCGTGCTTCTTCTTTCCTCGCGGGGGCTCTAACGACGGCGTCTGATTTGTATTCGGGCCCCCCCGTATCTCCGACAGTGGTTTCGATTTCAGTTCCCGTCTCGCCGACTCCGGCTCGTGATCCTGATGGTTGCTCTTGGCCTGGTTGGCGTTGGAAACGCGCGGTTG